CTCAACTCTCAGGTCGTCTCAGTATAACATGGATACCAGGAATCCTGGGGAAGTAAAGGCGAATGGCGCGAAGTTGACAAAATCACACATGGAATGCCGATTGGTCTATGAAAACATTTCTCTAGCATAATGTACCCAGTGCGCTTTTTAAGACATGAAAAGAAACCTTTATGTTTTCAGTGTTGGCGTCTGTGGCTTAGGCGTTGCGAACGCGCTTCGTAATGCCGGGGTGCCAGGATGCCAGGTTCGATTCAAGCTGCGGGCCTTGCGCCTTGCGTTGGTTTCGACAGTGGTATCGAGAAGCCGACCGTCCAGTAAGCAATGACAAACTACTGGACGTAAACTAGCCTTGAAAAACCACATCAGCCGAAAAATGCTGGTGTTGGTTCTGTCACGTCCTGTAAAGGATACGCAACTTTAACAATGTTTTCAGCATACTTACCTTCTTCCTCCCCCCCCTCCCTTTTACTTCCCACCTGGGTGCCGCCGTGGCGTAGCGGCTAAATATTCGCCTGCGGATCGGTACTCGGTGATTGATGTGGTCAAACTGCTAGTGGCGTCAGCGGAATTAGAACTCTTCGCTGGCTGCTGAAGATGCGGACGGGGCGCTTATGGAAATATCCTACGTATTGTGATGTCAATTTTTTTTTCGTAATACAACCTCCCGTTTGCAATTACTAATACCGATTTTAGAGTCGGGTCAACCTGGGATCCAAAACCAATAAACATTTCTGAGAGAGAGAGAAAGAGAGAGAGAAAGGGAGAGAGAGAGAGAGAGACAGAGAGAGAAAGAGAGAGAGAGAGGGAGAGAGAGAAATAGAAAAAGAGAGAGGGGAGAGAGGGGGGAGATAGAGGGAGAGAGAGAAAGAGAGAGGGAGAGAGAGAAAGATAGAGAGTGAAAGAGAGAGAAAGAGAGAGAGAGAGAGAGAGAAAAGGAAAGAGAGAGACAGAGAGAAAGAGACAGAGAAAGAGACAGAGAGAGGGAGAGACAGAGATAGAGAGAAAGAGAAAGAGAGAGAGAAAGAAAGAGAGGGAAAGAGAGAAAAAGAAAGAGACAGAGAGGGAGAGACAGAGCGAGGGGAAGAGAGTGAGAGGGAGAGACAGAGAAGAGAGAGAGAAAGAAAGAGAGAGAGAGAGAAAATGGGGGGGGGGGAGGGGGGGGTCCGATGTACGAACCACCGCTCCGACAATCAAGAATGCTACCCACTTCTTCACATTTGCGCACACCAAAGTCAAGGGCTATTTTCACGCTAGTCGTGAATCGGTCACATGGTGACAGATTCTATTTGTGTAGATCAATCGGCACTTGATTTTTGATGTGGTTATCTTCCCACAAGGCAACTTTAATGTCGTTTCCTCGGCCCATTTGTTTCTCATTTCAGTACCTGTTTGGCGATTCTCTACCGGCCTCTTCTTAATATGTGCTTAATACATCGCTATCTTATTAGTCTTATAATTATTTAACAAGCAGATGTCCAGACATTTCTCTTGTTTCTTCAATTCCACATAACCTTCAAAATGCACTTGTCCAAAAATGAGAAATCAGTAGTAATTTAGATAAATGACCACAATCAAGTGAAGAGTTGCCCTCGACAATTTGTCATGACAGAAGGCCTTGTTTGAGCACTGAACATTACAGCTCTTGAACAGACAAAATTAACCATTAACTTCTCTGTTGTTTAAACTGAAGCCATTTGTCTACGGTCATCAAATCTCGCTCTGCCCTCTGGTGAGCCATTTTCATCCAAGTTTATGGAAGACCATTTGTGTTATCTCAAATTGCCAAGCATGAGAAAATACGTGTAGCGACAATGATGCTCTGCAACCGTGACGTGCTGATAACCAACTGACAATGACAACAAGTTTGCAGAAACGGTTTCAAATTGGACTTATTTTAATTGTGGCTCTTCCACCATCTCACCGAGTTTTGTTTGAGTGTTAGGTTGCCCGTGGCAATTACAAATTCCCCTTTAGGGTTTTGTTGACTTTAGGCAAATAGACAATGTCAGAGATGGCTGACATAAACGTTAGCTTGCTTTCATTGTCTTGTTTTCCACACATTTCTCTCTTGATGTCTGTCTATACATTTCGCTCTTGATGTCTGTCTACACATTTCACTCTTGATGTCTGTCTATACATTTCACTCTTGATGTCTGTCTATACATTTCACTCTTGATGTCTGTCTACACATTTCACTCTTGATGTCTGTCTATACATTTCACTCTTGATGTCTGTCTATACATTTCACTCTTGATGTATGTCTATACATTTCCCTCTTGATGAATGTCTATACATTTCACTCTTGATGTATGTCTATACATTTCACTCTTGATGTATGTCTATAAATTTCACTCCTGATGTCTGTCTTTACATTTCACTCTTGATGTCTGTCTATACATTTCTCTCTTGATGTCTGTCTATACATTTCACTCTTGATGTCTGTCAATACATTTCACTCTTGATGTCTGTCTATAAATTTCACTCTTGATGTCTGCCAATACATTTCACTCTTGATGTCTGTCTATACATTTCCCTTCTGATGTCTGTCTATACATTTCACTCTTGATGTCTGCCAATACATTTCACTCTTGATGTCTGCCAATACATTTCACTCTTGATGTCTGCCAATACATTTCACTCTTGATGTTTGTCTATACATTTCCCTTCTGATGTATGTCTATACATTTCACTCTTGATGTCTGTCTATACATTTTCGCTTTGATGTCTGTCTGGACATTTCACTCCTGATGTTTGTCTACACCTTTCACTCCTGATGTCTGTCCATACATTTCACTCTTGATGTCTGTCTATACATTTCCCTCTTGATGTCTGTCTATACATTTCACTCCTGATGTCTGTCTATACATTTCCCTCTTGATGTCTGTCTATACATTTCCCTCTTGATGTCTGTCTATACATTTCCCTCTTGATGTCGGGTCTCCTGTCAACTACGGCCGGTAGACAACAGTAGACGGCCAGTTAGTCGGAGTTCTGTCCCCTGGCTGCAGTGCAATTACGGACTGGAGAAGGCACGAATCAGAAAACACAGAGAGGTCGACATGCCTTACAGACCCCGCGATGCGACTCAAATTAGCGATCGCGTTCAATTACCGCTTCTTGCGACGCATTACGGAGTGGACTAGAGGGAACGACACAAGTGACATACTTACTGTGTGTTGGCGATAGACAGCGTGCAGTGCCCTACTGTTATCGTACGGTTAGAGTTTGGGTTAGGGGTAGGGGTAGAGGTACGGTTTGGTTTAGGGTTAGGGTTAGGGTTTGGGTTGCTACTATGAGTTTGTGCGAAGACGAGATGCGGCGACACTAACCGTAACCCTAACCCACACCCTAACCCTAACCCTAAACATAACCCACACCCTACCCCTACCCCTACCCCTACCCCTAACCCAAACCCTAACCCAGACCGTAACCGTATGATTATAGCATGGCAGTGCACGCTGTCTATCGCCAACATACATTAATTATGTCATTTGTTTCGTTCCCTCCTTTCTAGTCCGTAATTTGCACTGCAGCAAGGGGCCCACTCCTGATGTCTGTCTACACATTTCACTCCTGATGTCTGTCTATACATTTCACTCCTGATGTCTGTCTATACATTTCACTCCTGATGTCTGTCTATACATTTTACTCCTGATGTCTGTCTACACATTTCACTCCTGATGTCTGTCTACACATTTCACTCCTGATGTCTGTCTATACATTTCACTCCTGATGTCTGTCTATACATTTTACTCCTGATGTCTGTCTACACATTTCACTCCTGATGTCTGTCTACACATTTCACTCCTGATGTCTGTCTATACATTTTACTCTTGATGTCTGTCTATACATTTCACTCTTGATGTCTGTCTATACATTTCACTCTTGATGTCTGTCTATACATTTCACTCCTGATGTCTGTCCACACATTTCACTCCTGATGTCTGTCTACACATTTCACGCCTGACGTCTATACATTTTACTCCTGTTCTCTTTAGGAATATTACGTGGTAAGGCCCCAGTCTCTTCTACGGAGCGACTCTGGTACCATTGTCCGAAAACCATGACAACGGATGTTTTACCCGTCCACCGCGAGAGAACGGATCACAGTACCCGAGTGTCGTGAAATTGTTAACCGCCTTCGCTAGCCTCTAAGCCAGGGCTATTCAACTAAGTTGACTCATAGACCAAAATGTAGGAAAAGGAGTTCGACGCGGGCCGTAGGCCTACGCCCTAGCATAGAAAGATCACTAATACAGTACAACTGGAAGTGCTCTGTGGTTTTGACCCGCGGGCTGTCAGTCGAATAGCCCTGCTCTAAGCCACGGAGCCGCGTGCCGTCAAGTAAGTAAGAACCTATACCCAAGGATAACCTCACCGAAAATCGAATGATTTAATCTTGGAATCTACGCCCCTGTATATCCTTCAGTGATGACACCGGTTCTGCCTTGATTTGTTCTTCTTCTTTGATCTTCTGGCTAAAAAAAAAAAAAAAAAACTATCGATACGTACCCAATTATCTGAAGTAAGAAGCGGCCCATAGGCGTCGGAACATGAACACTCAAAAACTTTGAGCCGCCTACACCCCCTTCCCCACCCCTACCTCAATAGTCGCATATTTTATGGGACTGTGAACACCAGCAAATTTCCGGGGAAGAATTCCATCAACACCTCCCCTTTTTTCCCCCACCCCACACACCATGTACAGACGTCCTGTTTGAGAATTTGTTCATAAATTTAATATTTTTTCTACAAAAATATCTTGGCAGTTGGAAATCGGGGCTGCCCGGGCAAAACTCGGAGTTGAAAATCTACCCAAAGATTTCAGGATCCTCGACGATGCTACAGAGTTCGTGCACTGTGCTGAGATTCTTCCGACTCAGGCTTAAGTTAAAAGTAGAACGGAGCACTTATGGGTTACTACCTTTGTGCCATGATGTTGACACGTTGTATAATCATAACTCTGGTGTATCATTCAGTATCATATTTTCGACCATTACCTTGATTATATGACAGTGCGGCCCGCTTTACCGTGGGGTCTGCTGGTATCTGTAAATATCCGTTATATTGCTGTTGTGTGACATCATTACCGATACCTGAAATGTAAATATTGAAGCCAGGTGAACGTGACATTTTAACATACTTTTTCTAACCAATTGACAACTACTATACTACTACTACTACTACTACTACTACTACTACTACTACTACCGCCTACTACTACTACTACCGCCACCACCATCACCGCCACTACCATCACCACCACTAATACTACTGCTGGGTTTAGTGGAACATTGGACCAGATATTTTATTAAGGGGACTAGTAACGAACTCAGGCCCAGCTCTACCAAGCTACACACTAGCTGACCTGACATTGATGACTGGTCAGGCTGGTCTATATTAGAGGGGAATAGAAAGCACTCTCTCGTGTGATCTAGGTTCAGTGTATGGGGTAGGGCGTTCGGGTTAGGGCCAGTTGTACATGTTATGGGGTGGTTAAAATCGCTCACATCATGCATGAGCACGCCGGTAAGACCGTCGAGACAATACAATCGCACCAATTTGGCATCACTGCCAGTAAACTTACGCGGTTCAAAGGTTAAAACGCACAAATGAACTTCCAATCATAGTAATCTGACCTGACTTCGTCACTTATAAGTGTATTGCTGGGCGGAGCTGGGCATGAGTTGTTTATATGTTCCTTATTGAGATTTGTTTCAAAAATGCAATCATTTTTTAATTTTCAGAAGAGGTGGGGAAAGGAGTAAAAAGAAGTGACGAGGGGATGGGGTGTCTCTACAGTTCTTCATGTACAAAATTCTACATTTATTCAAATACAGTAGTATATGATTTTCTTTTGGAATATCCTCATAACTTTCTAAATCCGAATTCGGGTCTGAATTTATTGCGACTCTGTTTCACAGGAGGTACGTACCTTGAATTATGAACCACATTCGTTCATTGTTAGGTACGCACCAGTGGCGTCTGTACCCCGACTGGCCATTCGGCAAACAAGTCTCTTATTCTAGCTGACGATTTTAACAAGGTCGTCTTTGTGGTAGGGCACATGTTAAAGCAGCTGATAATCGTGATAAGGTTTAATTTTTGGGACAGTTCTTATTTTAGGGAAACACGGTACTACTATTACTACTACTACTGTTCCTACCTCTACCACCAGCACCACTACAGCTACTGCTGCTTGACATAAGTTTTAGTATACACACACACACACACGTTAGCTAATTCTTTTGTTCACGGAAAGATACGTAACAGGGCTAATAGGCTAAAATGATTATAATATACAGAAATAATGGCAGATAACAGAGAGACTAAAGCAGCATACACAAAAGAGTTGCAGGGGAGCAGACCACAAGAGGCACCAAGAAGACGGTGAAGAGCTAACATACAGTAAAAGTAAAGTAAAGTAAAGATCCTTTTCACTGGCATATGGGCAGAGCGTCCCATATTTTTACAGACCATCAGCACTATGTGGGTAATGTGGCATTACGCCGGCTGTCTTTACTTTCTCAGGACAGCCCATCCTGGTACCCATTTTAGGCTGGGTCGACCTGCAACGTCCCATACCACGACAAAAATCCACGCAGCCTGCAGTGGGTTTCGATCGCGGTATGCTGGCTCACGAGTCAGACTCGCAACGCCTTAGCCACGGACGCCGCACAGACAGACCTGCAAACACGGCCACCAAGTAGTAAGAGAAAGTCATTCATAGAGATGAAATGAGACTGCTGATATCTGCTGCAAGGAACCTCATGGATGTGAAATGTCGACGCAGAGTGAGAGAGGGACAATGGTATCTAAGATGGCGGAACAAAAACCGTATTAAAGAATGGCTACGAACCTGTGGATGGAGTAATCTGCGAGGCGGAGATGATTTTCAGGTCAGTGCTGTAGCCCTCCATGTCAGTGCGAGGCTTCTTTGACCATGGCATGACACTGTCTGCAGAACGATATTAGAATTGATGGTAAAAAGGACACATCTCAATCAATGGTGAATGTAATGAGAGAATTCACAGGGAACCCCCTTATGACGCGCCAGAGTGACAGGCCATTGAGAAAACAGGCTACACAAAGTAAAAGACAGTCACGAAGGGAAGTGGTTAGTTACCAGCGTAAACTCCGTGCAAAGGAAACAAAGGTTAGGAAGGGCAAAAGAGAGAACGGCAGTTGATTTTTGGACAGGAATGGAAGCGGTCAGCATTGGGTATATGATGCTAGACTCATATGTTTGTAGACTAATCGACACTCAGTGGGTGGAGCGGGTAAATTACTCCGACCGCCTTTACTTCCCTCAGGACATTACCTGGTACATATTTTAGGTCAAAATGATCTTTAAATTATGGTAAATTTCAAGAAAAAACTTAAATTGGGAAGTTTTCAGCCATTTCTGAAAGTGCCTGGTTTTTTTTCCAGTCTACGTTGTTCTGATCAAGAGTCACATTTTCGCGGAGAAGCATAGGGGTCGTCGGTGAAGCTACGGAGTACGTGCTTTGTGTGAAACTTTTGGCTGGCGACTAGCTGTTCTGCACAGAGAGACCAAGCCACGTGGAATAACAATAAATCTCTGGAGAAGCCCTGGCAATACAGCGACTAACAGGCTTGTCTATTGTACTAGTAGCCATACATAGCTTGGACTCCCTACCAAGGCGGCCTTTCAAAATTGATCTAGGTTCCAAGGTAGAGCCATTCTAAAAATGGTTACCAGAAGTTTTCTGTGAGGTAAAGATAGTCAGAAATGAAAATACAAAAGGTCTGGAAACTAGAGAATGATCTGGTATTCTGGTATGCAGCGTTGGAGCAACGTTTTACAGTGGACTTGTCGGCTGACACTGGTGTTTCCTATACATATGAGGAAAGGTTCTAATTTTCATGACTGACTGACTGACTTTCTACCCCACCAGGACATCACACAAGCGATAAACACCCGATGACATAAGGTGCCAGCATCTGGATGAGGATCACCGTGGACAGGTACCAGAAACCGCGTTCAGCCAATTGGCCATATTTATGGCCTGGCTATATTGCGGCCCCTGGCAAGAGCCAGAGTGGGGCTTCAAAAAAACGAAAAATTTAATCTTGAAAAGGACGGTAATTAAAATGACTTACTGAATTTTTTTTTTCACACTACAATTTTCACGAGCTGCCAGCTTGGAAAGGTTCTGTTCTCCCCTGAAGAAATGTTTGTGATTAAAACGACTGCGAGTAAAAGTAATAATTACATGTAATTAATCTTACCTGGTCCAATTTTGTTTCGTTTTTTTATTAGGAAACACCTAAATGCTTCAATAAAACCGTTTCGAAAGTTTTCGTTGAATCCGCCGTACAGAATAGGATTAAGCGCACTGTTGAAGTAGGCTATGTATAAGGCGATGTACCTCACAGTACGGTAGTATTCAGGCTGAAAGAGAAAGTAGTACCCTTTATTTTACATGTAAAAACACAATCATACAGATTTATGAAACAAATGGGAGCTGAGTGGTCGAGGCATGGCGTCCGCCTCGAGTGCTGGAGGTCCCGGTTTCAAGCCCCGGTGAAGGAGGAGGTTTTTTTTCCACGTGGACTTCTAGTAATTTCCCCTGGTCTCTGGGTAGTAAAATCAGACGCCTGTGTGTATTGTTGCGCACGCATAAAAATCGCTTGGCAGTTGGAGATTGGAAAGAGTAGCCTAACGGCGCTGGCCGGGCAACGGAGACGTGTCCCTGCAGCGTGGCACCCGAAAATGCTGAGCATGTGCTCCAACACTGTCAACTGTATGCTGACAACAGAGACGCAATCTGGCCTGTTCCAACCACAATGAAGACAAAACTGTATGGTACACGAGAGGATATGGATTGCACGATAGCTTTCATAAAGGCTACCGGCCTCCTGATATAAGTTTTCTGACAGAAGGATCGAAGAAGAAGAAGAAGACTACTCTTGTGCCATAATGCTGTTCTGGGGTAAAACTTAAGACTAGTAGAATGAATGAGTGAATGACTCGTGGAAAGATCGAATAAATTTACATTTTCGGTGACAGGAATTAGTCACGCCCGCCAGTTTAACACGGTGCAGTCACACTCATCTTTGTCCCATGGTATGCGTGTGTTGTTGATAATGACAGAGCTGACAGACTGGCAGGAGTGATTAGGGAGAAAGTGCAGCTGATTTTTCCAGTATTTTCCTTCTATAACATTTGATAATAGTTGTTCAGATAATCTAGAGAACAAATTAAAAAAAAAAAACACTTTGTAGGTCTACAATTTTATATGAAAAAAAAAAAAACGATGTCCACCTCTCAAACGGAAGGCGGTCAACCTGCCGTTTGGCATTTCAAGAATTTTTTTTTTGGTTTAGAATAGAGTTCACGTCCCCTGGCAGCTCGGGCGAGGCTCGTTCAGGGGTCAGCTGCGGGTCAAAGGGAGGCTAGGGTAGACAGAGCAGGAGCAGAGGTCTGAGGGTTTCAGGGATGGCAACAGCAAGGGCAGGCAGTACGAAGACCGTTTTAGAGTATATATAGTAGGATAAAGAAAACTAGGATTACTGATTGGCTTGGCGGAGGGGGATAGAAAGTATACATGTTATATAGTAGAAGTATCATCATCATCATCAGATGCCCTGCCGACTGGCGTGGGCGATCATGCCTCTCCACAACCTGCGATCTCCTGCAGCATGTATCAGTTCGTGTGCCGACACACCTCCATGCCATGCAACAAGACTGTCAAGAATCTTCTCTCGTTGTCTTCCTTTATCCCTCCTTCCACAGATCTTTCCAGTGGTCACAACATGTTCTATTTTCCCTCTTCTCATAACATAGCCGAAAAATGATGACGGTCTTCTTCTGATGTCTGTGATAAGTATATACAAGTAGAAGTATATACAAATGATAAAATAGAACAATATGACTAGACGTGTGTAATTTATATAGTAGAATAGAGAAAGCTGAGGTTAATGGCTCCGTTGAGGGGATAGAAAGTATACATGTTATATAGTGAAAAAGAAATATAAAACTGATTACAGGGCAGAGTGTCTGGTAGAGCTAAGGGTGGTTTGTGGTCAAACAGTAGCATCATCAAGTGTCATGCCGACAGCCGAGGGCGATCCTGTCTCTCCAGGGTCTGTTATGGTGTCGATTGTTAGACGATGAGCGGTGGTTACGATAGCTCACAACTAGGCGGCGATGTGCGGTCATCGACAAGCATGCCGCAGGAAGGAATGGGTCATCAGGATCTCCTGAGCATATGCGGATTTGACTTTATACAGATAAAAAAGAAAACTCATGGCAAAATGGCGGATGACGTGTTATGGTGTTAGGTCCTGGCAACTCAGTGAGAGTTTCAGTTGTCGTGCCAGCTAGTTACATGAGGGTTTTAAGGGTTGTTAGTGATCCCTAGGCATATGGTGCTATGACTGTATATAAAACAAAAATCAAAATTACAGCAAAGGAGTGAATGTAATGTCAGAGTGTTTGGTGTTAATGAATATCTGACAGGTCAAGTTGTCCAGTCAACAAGTTACATGAAGTTTAATTTGACAACTTGATTTCTGAGCGATTAATCAAACATATTTGTAAACAACTAATGTACCGTGTTTGTAAACGACCAATCACGCGTATTTGCAAAAAGGGTGGGGTGGGTGGGGGAGGGTGGGGTGGGTGGGGGAGGGGGATGTAGTTTTATGCTCACCTTACGGTCTTCATTCAGCTGGCCATAGAGAAGAATTATCTGCTGAGGCGTCCAGCAAATGATGAAAGTGGTCACTACTATAATAAGCATCTTAGTTACCTGTTGAGACAGTTAGTTGTATTGTTGGGTCTGTCATTGTAACTGTGTGCTAGTACTAGACAAATGATGAAAGTGGTCATGAACACGATAAGCATCTTAGTTACCTGTTGAGACAGTTAGTTGTATTGTTGGGCCTGTCATTGTAACCGTGTGCTAGTTCTAGACAAATGATGAAAGTGGTCACTACTATAATAAGCATCTTAGTTACCTGTTGAGACAGTTAGTTGTATTGTTGGGTCTGGCATTGTAACTGTGTGCTAGTACTAGACAAATGATGAAAGTGGTCATGAACACGATAAGCATCTTAGTTACCTGTTGAGACAGTTAGTTGTATTGTTAGGTCTGTCATTGTAACCGTGTGCTAGTTCTAGACACAGGGACAAACCAATCATTTCTCTGCTTTCTTGTAAACCAGACACAGCATCACGGTCCGATTTGTTGTTGTTTTTTTTCATTTGAACTTTGCTTGATTAAATATACATTTCTGTCATCATAATTAGGGTGACCATTATATTTTGAGCTGAAAAAGGGACATCCCACTATATATTTTCTTCTTCTTTTTCTTCTTCTTCTTCTTCTTCTTCTTCTTCTTCTTCTTCTTCTTCTTCTTCTTCTTCTTCTTCTTCTTCTTCTTCTTCTTCTTCTTCTTCTTCTTCTTCTTCTTCTTCTTCTTCTTCTTCTTCTCTTCTTCTTCTTCTTCTTCTTCTTCTTCTTCTTCTTCTTCTTCTTCTTCTTCTTCTTCTTCTTCTTCTTCTTCTTCTTCTTCTTCTTCTTCTTCTTCTTCTTCTTCTTCTTAGAAAAAGACTAATATTTTGAGCAGAAACGGTACATCCCAAGCAAGTCAATTTAATCTGCCCTCTTCCTTTTTTTCTGCCCCCCCCCCCCACACCGCACTCCCAAATCTTTCTTTGTAACTGGAAGGAACGGTTTACTACTCATTTGACCATTACGAGCGAAAAAATACTAACAATAATCTGCGCTTTAGCTGAAAAAAAAAAATAATTATACATTTACAATTCTCATGAACATATTTCGGGTATTAAAAGTAACTAAAATTGCTAAAACAAAGCATTTAAAACGGTCTGCAGATATAACCGTAAATATGTTTCAGATTCTTAAGCAGTAGTAGTAGTAATAATAAAAGAATAAAGAAGAAGAAGAAGAAGAAGAAGAAGAAGAAGAAGAAGAAGAAGAAGAAGAAGAAGAAGAAGAAGAAGAAGAAGAAGAAGAAGAAGAAGAAGAAAAAGAAGAAGAGGAGGAGGAGGAAGAAGAAGAAGAAAAAGAAGCAGCAGCAGCAGCAACAACAGCAGCAGAAAGTATACCTACATGTCATTTAGCCGCACCTCACGCTACCGTGTTTATGTGATTTGACATTAATTTATTCATTCACCAATGGCAGATAACAAAACAATTATCGCTGGGCCGTGTTGCAGATTGATCCACACATCAACAATTCATGGATTGACGTGTTGACCGTACATGTACTCAAACTCTGACCTCCCGAGTGTGTGACGTCACAGATCTTCACATAGATACTACTCTCTGCTATGTGCAGTTGCTGTTATAACAATCTATCAATAGTTGCTCTTTTCGACTGACTTAGCTAATGTTTGCTTGATTCTTTGGTCTGATTCACAGTGTGTGTAGTTAAAGAAATATAGACATATGGACTGATTTCACACATTTTTATTTTATTTGTTGGACTAATACCAGGATAGGTAAGGCAGCAACAACAGTGCGCAGATTTTAAAAGTTTGGGAGAACAAAAATAAACTCTTGTCCGTCAGGCTTGTGCACTCTGCTCTCATCTTTGTGGCAGGGAACTTGGTCAACTTAATCACACCATGAGAAACGGCTAAATAGCTTTCACATGCGATACCTAAGAAGAATACTTGGCATTAAGTGGCGAGACAAGATCACAAACACTGAGGTACTGGAAAGATCAGGTATTATAGCAGTTTTCGCGATGCTCAGTCGCAGAAGGCTCAGGTGGCTGGGTCACACCTGGAGAATGGAGGATGGCAGAGATTCCCTACGGACATCCTCTATGATAGCTAGAACACGTCAAGACCGAAGTCTTGTACGATATAAAGATGTGTGCATGTGGGACACGAATGATACAGGTATTCATGTGTATTCACCAGAAGTGTCGGAGACTAGGAGCTTTGGAATCACGAGCCAACCCCTAACGCTATAAAGTGTCTGTAAGAGATTTGGGGCGGGGGAGAGGCTTTAGATTCGTAAAAAGGCTTATCACCTCCGCCCCCCTCCCCAGCCAGACTATGCACACAAGTTGACTTTCTTAGATTTTAGTTTATACAAATACATTATTTCGATTAAAGTTATTGTATTTATGTGTCGTTCAGCACAATATTCTTCTTCTTATTATTTCTGGACACTAAAACAGGCTTAGATACCGTGAGCCCCTCGCTCATCCAAAAAGCCGAGAAAATATTGAGGGGCTGAGGGACATCCCTCACCCCATCATCTTCCCACACCCAACGTTCGTGAGTTGTATACGGTTCAACCGGATGAGGACTACAACGATGATGATGATAACGTTGATGATAATAGTGATGATAATGATGATCTTGATGAAATTAACATTAATGAAGTTGAAGAAGAAGAAGAAGAAGAAGAAGAAGAAGAAGAAGAAGAAGAAGAAGAAGAAGAAGAAGAAGAAGAAGAAGAAGAAAAAGAAGAAGAAGAAGAAGAAGAAGAAGAAGAAGAAGAAGAAGAAGAAGAAGAAGAAGAAGAAGAAGAAGAAGAAGAAGGCCTGTTGTCTTTGTACCTTTCTTTTGGCTTTCTCTTGTGAAGATGAGGTCGTGCTGACTAGTGACCCTGGGGCTCTGCGAATCAGCAGTCTGATCACAATAATTGTGTAAGCGACGATAATGATCACGAGAGGGACAAAAAACATCACCACTCCTTGAATCAGGCAGACGATAACACGGCCTGGCGTCCATAATTCGCAGTTATCATTATAGTACTGGTTGCAATCATATGAAACATAAATAATGTTAGCATAATGTGCTTTAGTAAATACTTATGCTTAAGCACAAAACGTGGAACCTTAACTTATACACACATACACACACATACACACACACGCTTGCACAGAAACACACACACACTCACTCAAGCTCAGTCCACCATCTTCAGCAGCAGAAACACAGATACAGAGTTCTAGTTCTGATGGCACCAGACTCAAATGGCACCAGACTCATTGTACATCAGTCAGACCCTTTCCCTTGAGTGTTGGCCGTTGACCAGATCCCCTGGTCACTCCTCCCAGCACTGTTTTCCTCAAACCATGTGCCTTTTTGTGTACTTTTTAGGACTCTAGAACATTTAGCTTGTTATACATAAATTTACCACCAAGTGCTGCAGAACCAGCCAGTCTATCTGCCTGCTCGTTTGCCAATACACTGGCTTAAACGGGAGACAATACCCAAAGGACGCTAACTACCCGAGATCTATGAAGCTATGCTTGCCACTCTACACCCAGCATACATGTCTCTACCTTTCTCGACATGCTTTGCGAGTCAATTGGCTTTCAAGCTTTCTCAAGCTAGAAGTAATTCCATATGTCATGCCTTGTTGCACTAAACGGTGCTTTTGCTCTGAATTCCAACACTTAGTCTACCTCTCTACACAGAGTCATATGTATAATCTGGGCGGGAATTGAGTCTTGGATCCTTTTGTTGAACTTCTGATTCCACCGCGTCCGCTGGCTAATTCCTGAAATCACGGCCCAGTGGGATTAAAAAACTACACACGTCTGATTGTTGCTCCGACACCTAGAGCAGCCTATCAAGACCGTGGTCTGTATCAAGGATTTTACAATTATTTGCAAAGGCCGGCTAAAACAGTACACACACCACTGGATGTGAATTTAAAATTAGGATAATTATATGATATGCAATTTATCCCTGCCAACTGACATCAGAAAGATAATTCATAAGAGCAACACAGTGCCAGTCCTGTTGTACAGAATGAACCACAAACAGTAAACCGGATATTAAAACATTATGTGGAAATTGTAGAGATGTTTTAAAAACGAATGATGAAAACACATGCGGGCAGATTTTGAAAAAGTACTGAAAACGTATTGAAAGAAATTAGGTCACGAACTGATTGCCCGCATCAAAAAGAGGCTTTTACAAGATTTGTTTACATGGTCGGAAGAGAATAACTGTAGTTTTCTGTGTGACGGTGCACTTAGTTTGTGTATGACAAAAACATCGCTGTTCACAGAGTAATCCTTAGAAGAACCACATAGTAATGTACCATTAAAAAGAAATAGGGGAAAAAAGGGGGAGGGTGGAGGGCGGGGTGGAACGTCTGTCAAATAGTTAACAGTTTACTTTTCCTAATGCAAAACAGCAAAGTATCTCAATGACAGCAAACATAAGACAAATATGAAGACGAAGACGAGGGTAAGGAGGTAGGTAGACATAAAAAAGAAGCAGTAGCAGCAGCAGCAACAACAGCAGCAGAACTAGCAGCAGCATAATAATAATAATAATAATAATAATAATAATAATAATAATAAGAAGAAGAAGAAGAAGAAGAAGAAGAAGAAGAAGAAAAAAGAAGAAGAAGAAAAAAAGAAGACCACGGGGGAATAAGGAAGAAGAAGAGGAAAAGGATGAAGAAGCAGTGGGCGAGAAGGAAGAACAATATAAAGAACAAAAAGAACACGAAGAAACAAGAAGTAAGCTAGGAAACAGTACCAGGAGTAGTATCAGTTGACAAAACTTACGTATGGCCAGTCATCGGTACAATAAATCTCGGTTCGGTCCCTCCAATGGATGACGAACATTTTACCAACCGCCAGCTGTGGGGCTGCTGTCGCAATAGCGACAGTCCACGTACAACCTGCAGGAAATCACAGAAGAACATCTTTCTCAACACCAACCATTATCGATGATCCTCCTGTTGATTTATGGGTCCTATTTTGGAAAAGGGTGGGGTTGGGGGGGGGGGGGGGGGGGGGTTATCCACTGCCTCCCTTTCAAGCATATTGTAAAAGCGATTATTTCGGGATTTTGACTACGAAGTCGGAGTGCCTCTGCTTGAGTGGCGTAGGACCAGTAGAACCACACACAAATAAGCAGATCTGTAAAACGGATGTGCACGCACAATTAAAGTTTGGAAAAAAGATTACAGTCCAAAAGAGGACTATACAATTACCCTTAATTTTTATTCTAATTTCCAAAAGTGAACAAACAATCTGAACTTTCCGCCGGATTTACAGCTGGTGAATGATAAAAGACAAGTGAATGGTTAAACGGATAAGAACGCTGGGCTCTCAAGCGGCAGACCCAGGGTCGAATCCACGGTAGGTTTAGGGATTGTTTTATGTGTCAATCCTAGCCTGCACAGTGCGTGACGACAGCACTAGATCTTCGATGTTCATTAGGCCCATGGTTGAGTCTTCTCTGATGATGGTTCAACGTAGGGTCTCTCTTGGTCTTCACCGTTGTCTTTTTCTTTCCTTTAAAAAAAAAAAATATCCAGAAACCGTGAGTTGTTAACCCTTTAGCTCGGTACTATGGATTTTCAACCCTTCGGCCTTGATTCCGTGATAGGTACCGTAAATCTGGGAGAAATGTGGCTTTTCTGCCTACCCCCGAGAGTGAACCCGGACCACAAGGAGTTCGTCACCCGGTCACCGCGATGTCAGGTTTAACTAACTACGCTAGAGAGCTGGGCTCTTTACCTTTCCGATGTCTATATTAGGACATGGTGGGGAGTCTGGTCTTATCCATTCTGAGGGCATGGCCCATGTGGTTCAATGGGGGCTTTCTTATGAAATTTGATACATTATCTTGCTTGGTCTCTTGTCTTACTCGCGTATATCTGAAGTGGAGCTTTTGTATTCTTCTAACAAATCTGTAATCAAACTTGTCTAATGTGTACGTAGAGCTACCATTGTTCTCAAACTCTCACAACCATTAGTTATCACTTGAATCACACAGAATGAAAAATATTACTCATAAATAATAGTGGCGGATGCATTTGATTCCATGCGTATGTTAGGAATAGGTAATTACTTTCTTAAAGAGTATCGTTTCAACGAAGCTAAAATACTTCGGCCAAATGATATGTAATAATGGTTGCAACAGTAATGGAGAGTATTGGTAGGGCTCGAGAAACACGATAGGTCGTTCATTTGTTAGTTCGTTCATTTGTTCGTTCATTCACCGTTTTTGGCTCTTCCTTTCTCTCTCTCTCTCTCTCTCTCTCTCTCTCTCTCTCTCTCTCTCTCTCTCTCTCTCTCTCTCTCTCTCTCATCTATCACATTCACTTGCTGTTGTTATACATTGAATCTACATCTGTAAATGTCTGCCTTTTGTTTTCAGTGCTGTCTCACTATCTCTATCTTTATCTGCACCTTCTTTCTTGTCTCCGTCTCTCTGTATCTTTTTCCTGTCTGTTAATCTCCCTTCCATCTCCATAAAGGAAGGTCTATCTAAGGCTGGCATCAACAAAACCACCCAACCACCTTTTCTGTAATAATCAAACGCTATTAGCCAACACTAGCCAGCTCACTCGTGCAATTAACTATTCGCCAAATTAGTCACGCGATTGCAACGAAAAGACCAATTATGAAATCAATGCAGCAAATATATTTATCTGATATTGAATCATTTCATGACATAACAGTCCAAGAAAATTGAATATCAATAATATATCAAATCAAACGCGGAAAGTGCTTGCGCAATATTTGACAGAGTTTATGGGTAACGTTTGTATTGATGCTGTTTTGTTAAAACTAATTATTCATTATTTATTGATTTCTCGCTTGGAAAAAATAGGAAAAAGTGGGAAAAAAGGGGGGGGGGGGGGGGAGACTTCTAGAGATCGTCATATGTCAGTTGCTATCAACAGTGGAGAAAATAATTTCAAGGATTTAGACGTGTGTCGCCAGGGGACAGATTTTGGAATATCCAAGAAGTAAACTAGACCATTGACACGAAGAGGCCGAAAAGTAGAACAGGGACGCAGACATATATACTAAATATTGTTTGAGGTGGAGAGAGAGGGAATGGACGGGGTCAGGGCTAAGGTTCCCTGTGAAGCAGGGATATTGATTATCCTGTAACAAAAATGGGCAGATTATACCATACAGGTCGTCTGATGGGCTACGTCAGCATCCAGTCTGCTAGTGTGACGTTTCATTTTTGATACCACACAGCTATTTTGAATGGGGACATCACAGCAGCAATCACTAATCTACTTCATTATTGACTTATGTGCAGCAAAAAAGTAGTGTTTAGAGAACTAGCAATTTTACAGTTAGTAATAGGAACATCGAGTCGGCTCTGTGGCTAAGTCGATGCGAACGCTTCGTAATGCCGGGATGCCGGGTTTAAACCCAGCTGCGGGCCATACGCCTTGTGTTGGTTTCGACAGTGGTATCAAGAAAGCCGACCGTCCAGTAAGCAATGGCAAACTACCAGACAAAAATTGGCCTAGAAAAACCACACAACAGCCAGGGGCTGTTGGGGTTGGTTCTGCAACGTCCTGTAAAGGATACGCAACTAATCTTAATAGGAACAAGCAATTTGATCCAGCTACCTACGGTGTCGATGCAATCTAAAAACTTGTTCAAGAAAATGTTATGAAAAGTAAGGTTATTTTGCGTCACCTGGCATCACAGAATGCAGTTACAACGTCATTCACTGACTCACACAAACAATACAACACACTCATGCACAAAACATTCAAAAAGACACACACACACACACACACACACACACACACACACACACATTATTGGTAGACTCCTGCTGTAGCATGCTTCCATTTTGTAGTTCTACTTATAAATATAAACACACACACACACACACACCCCCACACACACACACACCCCCACACACACACAGACACACACACAAATGTTGTAGTAAGCAACTCATTGCAAGTTTTCCTCTGAAGTTTGAGTATGAATGCCTGAAAGCCCAGGAGCCAACAGTCTGTATACAAATAAGAAAGATTTGTAAAACAAATGCGCATGTAACACTCAAGTTCTGGATCCAGAATAAAGTCCAGATATGGATGAACAACCAGAACTTTTCGCGTGAGTTTGCAACCGGGAAACATTATTATTAATATTAATAATGATAATGTATGTATGTCTATATATCTGTCTGTCTGTCTGTCTGTCTGTCTGTCTGTCTGTCTGTACTGTCTGTCGTACGTGTACTGTCGTACGTACGTACGTACGTCTGTCTGTCTGTCTGTATGTATGTATGTCTGTCTGTGTATGTATGTATGTATGTGTATGTATGCGTGCGTGCGTGTGTATGTATGTATGTATGTATGTATGTATGTGTATGTATGTCTGTCTGTATGTCTGTAATGTATGTCTGTCTGTATGTATGTATGTATGTATGTCTGTCTGTCTGTCTGTATGTATGTCTGTCTGTATGTATGTATGTATGTCTGTCTGTCTGTCTGTCTGTCTGTCTGTATGTATGTCTGTCTGTCTGTCTGTCTGTCTGTATGTATGTATGTATGTATGTATATGTATGTATGTATGTATGTACGTACGTAGGTGTATGTATGTATGTATGTATGTATGTATGTATGTATGTATGTATGTATGTATGTATGTATGTATGTATGTATGTATGTATGTATGTATGTATGTATGTAATGTCTGTCTGTCTGTATGTCTGTCTGTCTGTCTGTGTATGTATGTATGTCTGTCTGTCTGTCTGTATGTCTGTCTGTCTGTCTGTCTGTCTGTCTGTCTGTCTGTCTGTCTGTCTGTATGTATGTATGTATGTATGTATGTAGGTATGTAATGGTATGTATGTATGTAGGTAGGTATGTATGTATGTATGTATGTATGTATGTATGTATGTATGTATGTATGTATGTATGTATGTATGTATGTATGTATGTATGTATGTATGTATGTATGTATGTATGTATGTATGTATGTATGTATGTATGTATGTATGTATGTATGTATGTATGTATGTATGTATGTATGTATGTATGTATGTATGTGTAGTATGTATGTATGTATGTATGTATGTATGTATGTATGTATGTATGTATGTATGTATGTATGTATGTATGTATGTATGTATGTATGTATGTATGTATGTATGTATGTATGTATGTATGTATACAGCAGTGCTGACTCACCCAGGATGAAGCCAGTGATTTGAGGTGTCCAGTGGCGTCTGAAAGGGTAGACCACGGCGATGAACCTCTCTATAGAAATCACAGTCAGTGTCAGCACGCTGGCAGTGACGGACAGCACTGGAATCATGGCGTAGAGGAATCAGTCGACAGTGGAATAAGTAGAGAAATCAGTTGACAGTGGAATAAGTAGACGAATCAGTCGACAGTGGAATCAGTCGACGATGGAATAAATAGAGGAATCAGTCGACAGTGGAATAAGTAGAGGAATCAGTCGACAGTGGAATAAGTAGAGGAATCAGTCGACAGTGGAGTAAGTAGAGAAATCAGTCGACAGTGGAATAAGTAGAGGAATCAGTCGTCAGTGGAGTAAGCAGAGAAATCAGTCGACAGTGGAAAAATTAGAGGAATCAGTCGACGATAGAATAAATAGAGGAATCAGTCGAGAGTGGAGTAAGTAGAGGAATCATTCAACAGTGTAATGTGCACATGAACTTGCGGAATGATGCATGAGCAGAGGAATCAGTCGACAGTGGAACAGGTAGATGAATCAGAGGAATGCGGAATAAGTAGAGAAATCAGTCGACAGTTGAACAAGTAGATGAATCAGAGGAATGGGGAATAAGCAGCGGAATTATTCGGCAGTGGAATAAGCAGATAAGTGAGAGGAATGCGGAATAAGTAGAGGAATCAGACAACAGTGGATTAGGCAGAGGAATGTAAGAGGAGAGGGATAAGACGAGGAATTAAACAGTGAAGTCATGAGACAATAATGGAATAAGCAGATGAAATAGATAAAAAGTGGAATAAGTAGAGGAATGAGACGATAGCGGGATCAGCAAAAGATAGCAGAATTAGACAACAATGAAATAATGAAAAACAGGCAATAATGAAATAATAAGATACAATTGCGAACACCAGAGTAACAGTAACATGGAAACAATGTAATATTTGGAATATGCATGCAATATTTAATATGTGGTGAATCAGAAAAACAAAAACAAAACAAATGTAGACAAAATCTGTGAACTTACAAAACAGAGCTACAAAAAATGTAATAACCTACACAATCTTCTCCTCCTCGACTTACGACCTATGCGACTTACAACCTTCCGTACTTACGACTACACAAATAAACTAAAATTTTAAATAAAGACTGATAATCGCATTTGTAGGATCAACAAGTTGTCGGACCTAATGCCTAGAGCGCAGAAGAGTCTGGACACCAGAATCTGTTTGTCCCTACTGCGTATGGTAGACTGCTTCAAACCGCAGTTTAATTAAAATAGTGTTGGCAAATAAACATTCGATGGGATATTTTCAGTGTGGACTTCTAGTAATTTTCCCTAGTTTCTGATAGGAAGATCGGACGCCTGTGTGTATTGTTGTGCCCGTAAAAAATCCCCTGGCAGGTGGAAATCGTAAAGAGTAGCCTAACGGCGCTGCCCGGGCAAAATTTAGAGCTAGAAATCTCCCCAAAGTATTACAGGATCCTCGCTGGTGCTACAGAGTTCTTGCACTGAGCTGAGAATCTTTGGACTAAGGCTTGAGTTAGAAGTAGAACAGAGCACTTATGAGTTACTATCCTAGTTCGATGATGCATCCTTTACAGGACGTTGCAAAACCAATCCTAGGATTTTTTGGCTGTTGTGGTTTTTCGAGGCAAAATTTTCGTTCAGTAGTTTGCCATTGCTTACTGAACAGTCACCTCTTTGTACCACTGTCGAAACCAACGAAAGCCAAACCGTCTGCAGCTGGGATCGAACCCGGTGCCCCGGCATTACGAAGCGCGTTCGCAACGCCTAAGCTACAGATGCCGACTGTATAAAGCAAACCAAACCAAATATTCGATTCTATCAATTCAACTTACGAATTCTTAGTCGCATTGGAACTCGGTAGTTTTCTTCTTCTTCGCGTTCACCAGCTGTACACTCTGGTAGAAAGTTCTGGTTGTTCGTCCACTTCTGAACTGCAGTCCTGCTCCAGAACCTGAGTGTTGTGTGTGCATCAGTTTAACAGATCTGATTCACTTGAATGCAGACTGTTGGTTCCTTGCCTCTCAGGCAGATGCACTCCGACTTCAAAGGAAGCTCCCCAATTAGTCGACTCTTACGACATGCTTTTGGGTAGGCAGAGGGTCTATTCTTGTTTTAACCACGATGGGGCCCGGAACCCACACGGGGATAACCCGGTAGTATTTCTTCTTCTTCTGCGTTCGACATCAGTCATGCTAAGCATTGAGTCCCGTCTGGGTCACAAATAGGATTGTGCGTTTAAGGTCGCCACCGGTCCCCCATAGCTTCTCTTTCAATGTGGCTCCCTTGGGCAGATCCAGAGTCTTTGCTGGGAGAGGTAAGGGCAGTACTGTAGTATGTGCCCAGGGGTCTGTCTTTCTGCTCCACAATCACAGGCAGCAGATTATTTTATGCCTATCCTGTACAGGTGTGCTCGAAGACGACAGTGTCCAGTCCGAAGTCTACAAATTGTTGTTTGTTCTTTCCTGTTGAGTTTGTTTATGCTGTCACTCTCTGGTCTGTAATCTCTATTCTGCCTTCTCCACTCCCGCTTGAAAGACTGCTTTAGCGCTGTTTTGGTTTCCTTGTAGCTGTGTGGTGGATTAGGTTGTGGAAGATTACTCCCAGCTATTGCCAACTCATCTGCTCTCTCATTTCCTTGAATACCACAGTTGGCTGGTATCCACTGCAAGACCAGTTCTGCTTCCTTGGAGAGTTAGGTAGTAAATCAAGGAGACCCTATACTTTGAAATATTTCTTAGAAAATGGAAGCGAAGTTAACAATGATTCCTAACCGGGCGTGCAGCGGCGATAACTGCTGCTGTGTGTTGTGTCTGAACAGATCTCATAAGAGAACAAGAACACTTCCAAAAAATATGGAATATAGCACTAAAGACTTTGTCCGTTCACACAGAATGATAAAGGAAAGTGTCACTATGACGCTTGGGAATGAAAGTGTAAAATAATGATAAAGAATATGATGTAGAACTTTAACTATACAATAATAAAGTGGGAACGAGTGAGAAGTGCGGATGCGCAGATAGATCATTACGGTCTGAGGAGAATGGCGCTGTGAGGAGTTACCAGGGGATCTGGCCAACGCTCTAAACTCAGGGAAAGGACGAGACGGATTTACAATCAGACGGCTACTAGTGTCATCGGAATTGGAACTCTTCGCTTGCTGCTGAAGATGGGGACAGAGCACTTATGGGAGTGTCCCGAGTGCTGTGATGTCGATTCTTAATTCAACATTTAACATTTAACATAACAAACTGTCATACTGTATATAACATATACCATAATATTTTTTTAAAAAAATAGACATTTTTTTTTGGAAGGGGGGGGGGGGGGGGGGGGGGGGGGGGGGGGGGTCAAATATACACGGTCAATATTAACACGTTTTCCTATATTGTTTCTTTGATTGTGCCTTTAATGCTGTAATAAACTATGGGTTATTCTTGAGGATTATGGGATTAAAAGGACAGTTGCTATGTAACATCAAGGCCATGTATCATACTCTCCAGAGCGCAGTGAGAACACAAGAAGGCATGTCTGGTATGTTTACAATCAATACAGGGGTGAGGCAGGGATGTGTGCTATCTCCTTTCATGTTTGCTATATACATAGACAGAATATCAAAAGAAGCCAGCTTTTAAGTAGTCAACTCAGAAAATCCAGAAAATCTGGACCTTTACTCACCAGAAGAAGAATTAGATTCGCATACAATAAACGAGCTACTATTTGCAGACGATCATTGCCTGTTCTTAGTTAAGGTGAGTAGACTGCAGGAAAATAAATTGACTGAATGGTACTTGTCTGAAGCAAGTTGAAGAATTTAAATAATTGAGAAGTATAATGTCGGAAATCGGAAGAATAGATCGATAAACAGAAACAAGATGCAAACGAGCCAGTGCACTTATATACCAACTGACATCGTTATTAAGACATCCAAAATAACTAAGAGCTCCAAGAAACAGATTACAAACAACATATTCATACCAACACTTTGCTACCAGCGCCAGAGTTGGATATTATCCAAGGCTAACCTCGTAAAATTACCACAAATAAAATGAGATCTCTGAGAAAAGCCGCCAACTTAACCATCTGAGTCAAAGTTATAAATCATATTATCAGACAGGATTGTGGGAACAAAACCATGCAGCAAATTCATTGAGAAACAGAATCGAATGGTTTGGTCATCTTGTAAGAATACAGCCAGAACCAGCGCAGGCGCTACACATGAAGGGACCTGAAGTGAAAGCAAGAGGCCGCCCTAGAAGAAGATGGACTAATGCCATTGGAGAGCTTCTAAATCGACGTAGAGAGACAATAGTCCATTGCTGCCTATAAAGCAATGGATGGCAAACTGTTCCTCCCCACAACGCTTAACGGTAGAAGTGGAAATTAATGATGATAGTGATGATGATGATGATGGTGCCTAGTTTTTACACTAGCTATCTTGAACGCTATTTGTGGCGAATTTCTTTCTTTCATTTTCGTCATTTTGATTATCCTTTGATGTTGGAAAACATTGATCGCGGTAAAATGGCTTCTCTGCTTGGGAAATTATTATTATTATTATTATTTGTGGTCAAAGATCTCTAATCTATAAAATTATTGAATATTTCTGAACTACCTCCTCGCAAATTGGTTTTTCCTCATAACGTGCCTTTTTTAAAGTTCTGTAAATGCATTTCCAGTTTCATCTCTAATTTCTGTTTGCAGTTCAGAAGTTAGATTACATTATATACTTTACAGAAGTGTTCCATTTATTAGTCCGCGGAACCCCGTGGTTCAGCGTAACAAATATAAGTACTCATCCCCATTCTCTTTACCAACCCTCTCAGTTTTAGAATGCAATCCTGATTTTGGATTCTATTCCTTGATCATTTAAAAATCACTTTTAACGCACATCGGGAATAACCGTAAGTGTTAAGAACTCGTCCTAAGTATGTTTCTAAGTGTTTTTTAGGCGAACAACTCCCATTCTATTCCGACTGATGTAACGAGAGTGGCTCCTGTATGGGTTTCTTCTCTTACTAATTGGTACACCCAGGGTATGCAGTCGATTCAGTAAAGAGTCATTTCCCAGAAAAATTGAAAGCT